TTATTATACCCACCGCATATTGTCGCACTTCGACTAATGTGTATATACACATTCATATTTAACCCCTCTACGCTTCTTTATTGACTTATATGATTTTATACAGTGGTGCATTTTCGCTTACAAAGGCTGAATTTGACTTAATACCAAAATGCGATATTTTGACTTATGTGCTTATTCCCACCATACGCAGATTTTTTTGTGTGAAAATCAAATATAGCGTTCATAAGAAAAAATAAACCTGATGATAGTTTCACGAAAACGAAACGTCGGAGAAAATTTCTAGTTGTGTCATGATATTTGTCATAAAGAGTTGCCTTAAGAATGTTTTTTCAATTTAAATAAAAAGCGAAAAAGCAATTTTTTTGTTTTTCGTCCATATTTTAAAAACTAAAACGGCTAGATCTAAAAACTTAGTTGAAAGATGATGAGCTCTAAGATACGCAACTTTGCCCCAATTTAACCATTTATGTATCTCTTATGGTTTCTGAGATCCTAATGGTGGGGGTCGAATTTGAATTACCCTGTATATAAACCACTATTCCACTATATATAATTTACTTATATATAAACAATATAATTATCAATATATGATCAATATAATTTCCAGAACAATCGTAAATAATCGAAAAATTGGTTGTTGTTTTCATTTCTGTAAAACAGTATATAAACCCACGAATAATAACAGTGATACTGTTAATCTAGCAGACAATAAATTGTGGTTACCAGTAAAAAATAGTGACTTGTTTAAAAAATTATTATTTATTTCAAAACTTTTGAATCGGATAATAGTTTTGCTTTCATTAAAGGCGGCAACTGCGGATGATGCCACTTTTTCTCCAAGAGTAGACTCTTTATTTCGTATTCGTTCTTCCGCTGCTTTATATAATGCTCTATCTGCGTCGTGTCTAAATTTTAAATTTGAACTGACCGTATATGCTATGTCGTGTTTCTTACACGCTTCGTCTAATGGTCACGCCTTGATCTCCTCTCGATAATCTCCCTTCCAACTTGGTACCCGGTCCACAAAAATTGTATCCTGGCAAATGAAGTTCTATCGGAAGTTTATCTATAAACTTGTTAAAAAAATCCGCGATCAATTCGTTTGCCTATCAAACGATAACTGTTACGATTAGGTTCTAACAAATTCATTTTATAATTTCACTCCTTCTTCCCTTTCTTCACAGTTAAAAACTAGAAATGAAGCTCTGCTGTTGTGCTTTAAGCTTTTATTCCTTTTAAATAGTTTACAAAAAACAGTTCTGCTCTTAATTTATACTTATCACATCATATGATGTGGGAGTCATAGTAAAGTCATAAAGTCATAGTAAGAATCGTTAAAAAATAAAACCATAAATTTCGTCATTTTTAACATTTTTGCAAATTATTCGCAAACCGTGCAATAAAAAATTTATATGAATTGATCAGCACCTGGCCAAGTGGGGTAGCTTAATACATATCGAATTTGGAGTTTCTATCTCACCGATACCACAACCGATGGGACACTCGGTACAAGACAACTAGTTTTTTTTTGGCTATCTCCTTACCTTTCATATTCTTATGATCATTTTAAAATGACGTAATGAGTTGGACTCCACCGGATGGATCAGTACTGAATTTCCAATGCCAGTCCAAAATTTGTATTGTATTTAACTTTTATGGAATCTCTTTTGCTTGTGTTTTATAGATCTTGTGCCAGATCACCTCTTATTGTGATAATGTGGCTCATCACGTTGAAGTGACCAGCAATAGTCGGCTAGCAAGGAGGTGAATTCCATTTTTTTTAACATATACATATATAAACTATGGGTATTTTATAAAACGCGAATGTTGTCTAAGAAGTATGCCAGTAATTTTCAAATATTCACATATATTCCATTTGTGTTGTTTATATTTAATACCTTCAGGAATAGTTTTAACATTGTCGTATGATTCTTCTATGTGTACGGAAAGAGCAATAAGCAAGGAAGCGTATTTATTGGAGCTATGCAGCAAAACTGCTTTCAAACTTCTCTGAAAAGAATCAATAAATAGCCTCTAATTGGCAGGGTCATATAACAGTCCACATTTTTCCACGAGGGCATTGGCATCATTACAATAAACATAGCTACTACCTTCAGAGAAAAACTCAATAAATGACTTTTTTCGATGTCTATACCTAGAGAAGGTAGTTCCAGGAGCAAGGAGATTTCTCTCTTTTAGTCGTGACCCTAGGAGTTCAGATTTATCTTTAGGTAAACCTAAATCCCTCGCCAAATCATTTAGTGCATCTTGATCATACAGAACCGGCAGAAAATTAGAAGCTTCATAATCAAGTGAATCTATATCTTCACATTATCGAAGATCACCAATGTTACAGCTGATATCGTCATCAGTTTTCTTCTCGAAATTTGGTGGAGTTGCAGGAATATCGTCAGATTCAAAAGGAGGGTTTCGTAACACTTGCTACATTTGAATACTTAATATTATGAGAATTTTCGGCTGATACTCATACTCATACCGCGTTTAGTGTTCAGCTTCAAGGGTCATAACATAACTTATGCAGGAATAAATAGTACAGCACCGTTCAATCGCACATTATCAAGGGCGAGGATAGTACTGACTATTTAATTCATATCGTTAACAGCCAATAAGAATTCGCGGTTTTCCGTGAATTGCGAGTATTTCAGCGGTTATTTGGCCGTAACCATGGAGAACGATAATACGAACCTTTGTATTATCGCTGTAATACGAACCTTTGTATTATCGCTTGTTTGACATTTAATTAATTTCGAGACATCCATGCATGTTTCCATAACAATCAATGTAATTTATTAAAAAAATATAAAAATTCTAAAAATATGTATATTTTTTATTCATGAAATAGTCTAGCCATATACAACACGACAATCGAAAATACACGAATCTCGACGTATTGCCTTAAAAAACACCACTCGACCTTCGGTCTCGTGGTGTTTCAGGCAATACGTCTCGTATTATCGAGTATTTTCGATCGTCTTGTTGTATAATATATGA